TAAACTAATAAATCATAAAATTAGTACAATATTATCAGTTTTTTTACTCTTAATCACTTCAATATTAACAAGGACACGAACTCCCATAAGGATGTCGGTCTTTAATAATAGGCCTGTTCTTTTTGACTGAACTTTTGCACCAGTTCATGTTTCTTCCTTTTCTCTCCGGAAGAAAAGAAGAGGAAGAAAGATGAACTGGTGCAAAAGTTCAGACAAAAAGAACAGGCCTGAAATCTCGTCGGTGCTGCAACTGAATTGAATGCATCCTTGTCACATCCATGTGCGTTTATCCTTTTCTTCGCGCATCCTTTTCTTTGCAGCAACGTGTGATTGGAGCAGTTTCGAAAGGTTATTGTTATTTATTTAAGGATTTCGTTTGTGTTTAAAAAAAAGTGTATTTAAATAATCTTTCAATATTAATACAATACGGTAAAGATTTGAGTTAAAATCGAGATGCTTATTTGGTTGACAGCATGGTGGAGGACTGATTCTTTCTGAAATATTGATTCTTTTTACGGTAACTTTTCAGATAACATAAATAACAATAAAACAATAAAATAAGAATAAAATATTCTTATGATTTTATTCATATCGAGCACTTGATACACGTATTAACATCTATGAAATTATTTTAAACGTGTATTTTTTAACATCAAAATATATATAAATATAAAGAATCGTATGAACATATATAATTATATACCAAATACATATTCATCCTTCTCCTTTTTATATAATTATACATTGATTCTTTTTTTATACAGTAATTCGTATGCCAAATAACACTAATGAGAAAACATAAAAGATATTTAGAAAGATAATTTTCGTATTGTTTCTTTTTTTTAAACATAAGTTTGGAGAAACTTAAAAGAATTGCTCACATATAATTATGTATAATTTTGTATAATTTATTATATTCTTTATTATGATAATTCTTTTTACATATTATTCTTCATTTATAAATTATGTTTATGTACAAGTTTATTTATAATTATATATTATCCTTTATAATCCTTCTCTTTATTATATTAGCCGTGATTTATAAATTGTAATAATACTATATCCAATGAAAAAGTTTATTAAACATTAAAATTGTCTCATTTATGGTTCCTGCGCTTTTTATGTTGTGTGTGTGTGTGTGAAAAAATATGCAGGGTATATATTTTATTGTAGGATGTATATATTTTATAATTTTACGTTACAGTATATTCACTGTCGCTTCGCTATACATAATAAAAAGAAATCGATAGAGGTTAAATGCGTGCGTGCAACAAAGACAACATTATTTTGTCTTTAGGTTGACAGCACTGGCGGATGCCGAACCGTCGGAAAAGGAACGAGAGGGCAAAGAATTAGAGAGAGACACTTGCAAACTGCACACACCTATGTTATCCTTCCACCATGGCACAAACTGCACATCAGTGATATCGGTGACATCACACATCAGTTGCACTTGCAAGTTGAACATAGTGGTATCAGTCAGGCTATGTTCCAAAATTGACTGCCTGTACTGAAAATCTATAGTGCACGTAACGTAAACTGTCGCATTTTCAGTGCTGACAGTAAATTTGGAACACATCCTCAGCATCAGTGACATCACTGCCGTCACTGGGCCCAGGTTATGTTTGGTCACGTTGCGATTGTATTCGCCAAGAGCCGAGATTCGCGATCGGTGCCATGTATGTACGTA